TTTTTTTTTTGCCTAGACTGGGTTGGAACCATGACTTTCTAATTTGCCAAAAAAAGAAAGAAATAGAGATTCTTGGACTTCATTCCAGAACTAATGAATAAGAAACTTAAGGAGGTGAGACTCACACTTTATTTTATTTATTTCTTTTTTTCTTTTCACAGTTTATTTTTTATGTTTTTGTGTGTGTGTGTGATACTGGGGTTTGGACTCGGGACTGACTTGCTCTTAAGTTTTGTTAGACAAATCTGGAGCAGTCATCATTGCTAACGAGTTCATTAGTAAAGCAGTATTCTTCTGAGGGCTGTACTTGATGCCTGTGAACTGTCTTAGAACCTGCATGTCTTGGAGGTTTTACGTACTTCTTTCTTAAAGGCATTGCTCAATAGGCAAGCACTCTGTCACTAAGGCACACCTCCAGCCCCCGCAGCAGTTTTCTCATGCATTAAACTAATGAGCATCTAGCCAAGCCTGCAGATCTGCAGATTGCTCTTTAATCTAGACACATTGGGGACCTTTCCAAACCCCAAACTGTGGATGAATTCTTCCTTGGTGCTGTGGATGAAACTCTCCAGACGTAAACTGAGGCACTCATAAGGCTTGCCTGTTTTTTTTTTTTTTTTTTAACCCTTTTCTCAGGTCACTGTCTGGTCGTTAAACATCTAAAAACTGCGATTTTGTGTATTTTATTTTGACCATTGTTTTAGTTTGAGGTGAAAGGATGAATCTAGTCCTCTGGTACTTTCATGATAGCTAAGTGTAAAAATTGGATAGTATTGCACTTTGCCCTTTCACCTTTTTGGTAAAAAGACATTTCATGTATTCTTATTACCAGTAGTGCCATAGTGTGTTGTTAGTATTTATAGCGTTATTATTAAAATGTGATAATTTTTGGTACACAAACTCTGTTTGGACTTTTGTAATACTACCAAACGGTGGTTCATACACTAGTGTTGGTTTGTCAAATGTTTGTTACTGGTGTAGAAAAAGAAAAGTACAAAACTTTGGAGTTAAAACTTTTAAAAATAAAAAGAAATTTGACATTGCCCTGATATTTTTATTTTATAAAAACCCATGTTTCATTGAGAAGGTCTTTCCTTCTCAGTGAAAAAAGCTGGGCATGGGTGGTGCACACCTGTCATGCCAACAACTTGCAGGAGCCACTGGGTTCTGGTGGCTCATAGCTGTAGTGTTAGCTACTCTGGAGATAGATCTAGATGATCTCTGTTCAAGGCCAGGCCGGGTGGATAGTTCTCTAGACCCTATCAAAAATACCCAATACAAAAAAGGGCTAGTGGAGTGGCACAAGTGGTAGAGCACCTGCCTTGCAAGTGAGGCCCTGAATTCAGACCCCAGTACCTCAAAAAGAAAGAAATAGTATCACTGTTCAGTGGACCTTGGCAAAAAAGAAACTCTAGATCCAAAAAATAACCAAAGCAAAAGGGGCTGGAGGGGTGGCTCAAACAGTAGAGCCCCTAGCAAGTACAAAGCCCTGAGTTCTCAAACCCCAGTACTGCCCTTCCCCCAAAATTAAATAAATGGTAACTTTTTTTTTTCTTTGAACTTATTTTCTGGCCTTAAAGTAGTCTCCATTTTTACTTTTTTTCTCTTTATTTTTCATTATAGAATTGAAGATGCTCCTGCTCCTTCTACATCTACAGATAGAGTGGAGAGGTAAGATAATTACATGGTATATTAGATTCATATCTGGAACATACTGTGCAATATATACCCTTTTTAAATTTTGAGACAGTTTTTGTAAGTTGCTCCAGGCTAGCCTCAATGTTTTGATCTTCCTGCCTCTGCTTCCTGAGTAGCTAAGGTTACAGGGGTGTGTCAACTGTACATGGCCTGGTCTAGAGTCTTACACTTTCTTTCTAACTGATCTTCTCTTTATTATTTTTTTCCTGTATTACAATCTGTACTATAATACCACTATGTCCCTCTTACCCTTCCTCCTGTTTTTCTTACAACTCTTCCCTTAGCTTACTCTAGATAGAAAAAAATTTCTTTTTCTCAAATCCTTTAACTAAACTTCTAGAGCTTTGCACAAATGTTGCCTCTGATCTGGAGTGTTCTATATTTGTGTGGCTTGGTTCCTTCTGTTCTCTGCTTCAATTTATGTTGCCATTGAGACCTTCCTGGATCATTCTTATTAAAATCATAGTGCCTTGATTTGTGCCCAGTACTATCAGGTACCTGAAGTATTGGTTGATTAAATTAAGAAGAGAGAGTATCTTTCAAAATAACTTTGTTTCCATTAATGGACCTTAGATATCACTAACTCTTGCCCATTTTACTCAGATTTTTTTTTTTTTTTTTTTTTTACAACTGTTGTTAACTTTTGTTAAGCTATAATTTGGTATCTAGGAAACTGAACAATTTGATGAGTCTTTATCTCTAAACTATTTTCCCAAAAGGTAAAGAGTATATTTATCACCTCAGTTTCCTGTGTTTCTTTGTATTTCATTCCTTCCTCAGGCAATAATATAGTTTCTGTTACTATAGATGAGTTATGATTTACAGAATTTTTATCTAAATGATGTCATTCAGTATGTGCTTTTTTGGGGGTGGGTGGGTAATAGCTGCTTTGATTTAGCACAATTATTTTGGGATTTTGTGTTATCACATGTACCAATAGATTATTCTTTTGGCTGGTGAGTGACATTCCATAATGTAGATGGTATCACAATTTATCCATTTGGGTTCCTAGTTTGAGATTATTACATGTAAAGCTGCTATGAATATTTGTGTACAAGTCTTTATTATACATTTCCAGTTTATGGGTTAATACCTAGGAATGGAATGGCTGGATCATATGGTAGTATGTATTTAACTTTAAAAAACTCCCAAACTGTTTTCTAAAGTGATTCTTACCATTTTACATTCCTTCCAGCAGTGTATTAGCTGCTCTATATCCTTGCAACAGTTGATACAGTCAGTCTTTTCTTTTTTGAGACAGGGTCTTGCTATGTTGCCTATGTTGCCCAGGCTCTCTTTGAACTCCAGATTCTATTGCCTTGGTCTCCCAAGTAGCCAAGACTAGGCAAACACCACCATGCCCAGCCTTTGTCTTTTTAAAATTTTAGTCAGTCTAGAAGTATAATGGAATCTCATTATGGGTTTAGTTTGCATTTTTTGAATGACTAACAATGTTGAGCATCTTTTCATGTGCTTATTTGCCATTTGTCTGTTAAAGTCTTTTGTGTATTTTTTTAATGTGCTTGTTGGCATAGAAATTTCACATATATCTTATCCCAGTCTGTGACTTGCCTTTTTTTTTTTTTTTTT